CCTACAGATTATTATCTTATTTTTGGTAAATCAATTGGTAATAATTTAACAAATTGTTTTCAAATTTATTTTTATTTAAACCACAATAGCCATGTGACCAGCATTACTTCGAATATAATCAGAAGTAACTTAGACACTAAAGGTATATCAATTTTCATCTACTTGTACACAAGTAAACAAAACCCTCCTTTTTAAAAGTGTTTTAGGATTTCTAGGCTTTATCAGCAAGTATGCAAGCTAAGTAAGTAATAATTTCTCAAATAATGACCCCCCAAAAAAAAAAATCATTTACAAGAAAAAAAACAAGAGGGCCATCATTAAGAAAATTATTCACAAGAGAAAAAACAAGAGGGCCATGATGGCCCTGAAGACGCTCACCTGTATAAAGGCGCCCGGGGCGGGACCAATTTTAACCCAGAGGCTTTTATTTGAACAAACTTGGTAGACACCCATTTGAAGATGTTTCATGATAAATATCTAAGCTCTAGCTCTAAGAAAAAGTTTTTACTATACACATATAGGGAAAAACAATGACCCCGCTCTGGGCAGTGTCAATTTTATCCCAAGGGCCTTTATTTGAACAAACTTGGTCATGTTGGTAGGCACTCACTAGAAGATATTTCATGCTTAGTATCTAAACTCTAGCTCGTTGGGTTTTTTAAAAGACGATTTTTTAAGTTTTTATTATCAGATATAAGGAAAATCTATGACCCCCGGGGCGGGCTAATTTAAAACCCCAGGGCCCTTATTTGAACAAAGGTGGTAGACACCCATTAGAAGATGTTTCATGCTAAATATCTTAGCTCTAGCTCTTAGGGTTTTGAAAAAAATATTGTTTAAGTTTTTACTATATACATACAGAGAAAAACAATGACCCCCTGGGGCGGGGCCAATTTTGACCCAAGGGCTTTTATTTGAACAAACTTGGTAGACACCCATATCTAAGCTCTAGCTATTAAGGTTTTTTAGTAGAAGATTTTTTAAAGATTTTACTATATACAAATAAGGAAAATCAATGCCCCTCCCCCCGGGCGGGGTCAATTTTGACCCCAGGGCTTTAATTTGTATAAACTTGGTAGACACTGACTAGACGATGTTTCATGCGAAATATTTAAGCTTTAGCTCTTTCGGGTTTTTTACGAAGATTTTTTAAGTTTTGTCTTTCGGTTGCCATGGCAACCAGAGTTTTGCATGAAATTAAATTCTTTGAAAAAACATTTTAAGTTGAATACCAAAGGAACATTCCTGTGAAGTAAATTACTTTCTTTGTTCACTTCACAATATTTTAATATTTTTAAATACATTTTGAAAATTGAAATGAAAATTAGCATGAACCTGGAGGCATGCTGCTTTAAGTCTTAGAACACAAAATTTAAGAATGACAGTATACAGCCGGGCTATTGAGACTGAACAGGCTCCACACTGTTGTCTCACTAACTTTTACTTTTCATCCTGAAACGATAATAAACTTTTTAAAATATGAAAGCCAGACATGTCCATTAAGAAACTATTCAGACTCAGGGTTGATCAGTGCTTTCATTTTGCAAAATTCAAAATCAAATAGTACTTATTATTACATGCTTTTCGGTGGTTTATAGAAATATATCAGTGATATAAAACTGGTAATTTCACTGTTTGAAACAGTGAAATTACCACTTTGATAATTTCACTGTTTTGAATTTAAGCCCCTTACGTTGTTTCAGTGAAATACCAGCTTGCACAATACTGGGTACCAACTTAATGACGTGACGTCGTAAATGACGTCACGTTGTATTATTATTTGGCGCGCTTTTCATTCAGTATAAGGTTAAATGTCTTTTTAAAACGTTTCTTTGCATATAATAAAAAGAAAATTTGTTTAGTTTAGTGAAAGATTGAAATATATTTCACCTTGTGAACACCAAAAGTTCATATTTCACTCGTGGCTGCGCCACTCGTGAAATATACCTTTTGGTGCTCACTCGGTGAAATATATTCCGATCTTACACTGAACTAAACAAATATCCTCTATGTACACAATGTTTATTTGGCACAACCTGTTGGACTAACTGTAGCTGTAAGTGCTAGCAAAACTCTTCAACCCCTGTGAACACTGGATGAAACACATTTTTCTGTTGTTTTTTGTCATATAAACCTTAAAAAACAGAAGTTATGACATTTATTCAATTATATACATGTATATGGTAGTGTATATCAGAATTGTTGAGTATGAAAACATCATTTATACAGTAACAGTCCTGTTGTTTAAAGAAAATAACCAATTTTATGTAACAAAATTATGTTAATAAATATCAAAATATAGTCCACCGTAATTTCAGAAGAGGATAACAAGTAAATGGTGTTGATCCATTAAAGCATCTACAGAAATCTGTCAAAATGCAGAAACTTAAAATGTGAAATTAAATCATCTCCTAAAGTGTCTCCTTTGAGCTACTGTTTAATTTATACTTTTAATACCACATAAGCACCTTACATTTGGGAAAAGTAAAATCCCTCTAGCTATCATGGCCAAACTTTAATAGTAACTTTGTTTTTGAGGCAGCCTGTAATTATGTGACCTTAAACACTCAATAAGACAGATATTTGTGCAATCTATCAAAAATAGCCTATAATTACTCCCAAGAGAAATATAACTATAACAAACTCTTTACATTTAAAATGACCTGTGGATTATGGAAGATATATAATTATGTATTATTTACATTTCTTATCAAGAACTTTGTCTGTCCATGAAGCAATGTTTTGTTTTAGTATTTAAACAAATGAATACTAAACTTTAAGCCATTCAGCTATAAAGGTCAAATAAATATACATGTATGCCAAACGCTCCTGACAGTCTTTGCCAACAAAAGGTTTGTGTTTTCAAGTAAAGACCAAATCCATGTTTTGTAAATACATGAAAAGCACAAATCTCCTGCATAACCCTGAAATGTATATTAATAAATCAAACTTGATAATTGTATGACTGACCCTTTTATATTAATTAATTTATAAATTATGACTGTTACAAGATTTTTTTATTTAAAAGCCACATAAATTACTTTATTGTGTTCAATCTGGAAGATATTTTGTAAATGTTTGTATTATGTAACATATCCTCTACAGCTTAACATATTCTTGTTATCAAAATGAAATGAATATCTTTATAGTGAATATTTTAGAATTTCTTAATATAATTACATTGTATTTTTGTTAATGAAAAAAAAAAAAAAAACAACAAAAAACCCCCCAAAACGGCATGGTTACATATTTTATACAATTTCAACACTTTATAGAATTTTAAAAACTATTGTGGAGGCACATCTGTGTCGTAAGATTTGATCATGGACTGCACTATTCACTTTTCAGTCACAATTTGTAAAGTTTCTTTCAAATTGATAAATGCTTTAGTCCATATTGAAAGATAATCTTGTCAATTTGAGATATTTCACATGTAGTAATGCTAAGGGTGCTTAATCATATTTCCCTGGGTAGGTATGCATTTTTCATGATTCTGTGATAATTTAAATTAATTACAAAAATAAATGTTAACTGAGTAATGTATAAATCCCATTAACCACAAAAATATTTGTAAATATACTTCATAAACTGTTATTTTATAACAGGGGTGTGGCTGTCATTTTATTAAAGGAATGTGGCTGTCATTTTATTAAAGGAATTTGGCTGTCATTTTATTAAAGGAGTGTGGCTGTCATTTTATAAAAGGAATGTTGCTGTCTTTTTATTAAAGGAGTGTGGCTGCCATTTTATTAGAGGAGTGTGGCAGTTTTTTATATTTAGGATTAAATGATCAACAATAATTGTTCAATCACATTGTTCTTATACTCTGTCTATTGAAATATATAACTTTCCTCTCCTGGACAGTGAAAAATAATGTCACATTACTAACACATTATCACAAACTCAAATGTTTAAAAATAATTAAATCAAAATTCATACCATATTGACACCTGAACTGTCTTGACACCTGCAGATCAGACTTGTGTACTGTTGGCTACTTTATCAAATACAGTACAATCTCAATTCTTTTCAACATCACTTAAAGGTGCATCTTCCTCACACATGATATAGAGTTGTCTGAATCAGAGTGCAGTATACATACAAGATTTGTCCTGTCAATGTTTTTTTCCGATGTATAGATCTAGATCGCGGAAATTGGTTTCTCACGCAAATTATGTCGATGAAGGTGCGTTTTTCCTTGAAAAACACAGTTTCTTTAATGACCATGTTTAGAACAATCAAATGTATCCTAATTTTGTTCAATGGTTGAACGAAAAACAAACTTCTGTAGAGATGTCTGGCCGGATACGCTATTTCTTGTATTTTGTTTACAAACTTGCGAGGAAACGCCCGTCTATTTATAAATTTTGAAGACACGTGATATGTTTCAACCAATGAAAATGCGTATACAGATTTTTGGATGAATTGGAATTTGGTAGATTTTCGTTGGTCGTTCAAAGTTCACTGTAAAGGTCAATATCAGAAATCGGCGCTTCTTACAGCAGAGGTCTAAAGTAACGTGAGTGTATTTAGTAAGCTGCGAAGGGAGCGTATAAAAAGAAATGCAAACCAATTGTCTTGCTCGTCAAAAGCACTTGAAAGAACAATATGACCTATGGCCGTTTGATAAATGTCCCAATATTGAGATGTTTCAAAGCAAAGTAAATTTTACGGTATAACTTTGTTTAATCACGTCTGAACATGAAGTGTTTTTGAGATTTAGTGATGGAAATTAGTCCATCGTTTACCGTTATCCAAAATGTCTGATTATCAATTTTCTTCTAAACGACATGGTGGAGGAGTGATTCTTAGATAATAGTAGAGAATTCATACCGCCATTGTCATTTGAGCAGTTCAAACAGTATATATATATTACTTTTTATGTTCATTTTAGTTAATTTAGTTCTTGTGGATTGTGTGACGGTCAGAGCATGAATATTTGGCATTTTCAAATATTTATATTCAAAAAAATAATAGCTCAATGTTTTTCTTTGTTTAAGAAATACCAGAACCTTCAAGACCTTCGCAACGGGAAACAAGTGACACAGGTATGTCAAATCTTATTTTGTCAATGATACTTCTCACCCTAGCGTCTCGGTTAAAATCTTGATTGCAACTTAAAATATCATTAAAATATTGGCAAGGACTTTCACTGACTGTTTTTGGTTAACTATAGACTTTTCTTGTAAAAGCAAGGAAAGGGCATCAAGGAAGACAGAAATAATTATAACATAGATGTGCATGATTATGTCCATAAAATCTTTTAGTTATATAACAATAAATGATTTTACAAGTTAAGATCCAGTTGATATTTTTATGATAATGATTTAAATTCTAAGAACATTGTTAGGGTGTTCCAAATAAAGCTATATTAATGGAGGTTCCTTCAGAACAAGATTAACAATGATTTCTAACTTTAGTTGTAATTATATGTAAGTACATATAGAATGTGTAGAAAGGTAACTGGTGTGTATATTTAAAATCCTTGGACTATTGACTTGGGAGTGACTCCCTTCCTTTATTATAACTTTAGTCTCGTGTAAATAAGAACAGAATGACCTTACACAAACAGGTTTTATCTTGTTATCGTTTGTAATTTTAACTATTTGATAATTTGTTATGAGTGAGATATAATAATATTATAAAGATAGATATTCTCTACATGCATTGAAGTGTAACAATATCTACCTTTGTGGTTACAGTTAAAAATTTCAAGATGGATGAGGTTTCGCGTCCAGGGAGGAAGATGATTTTTATTTCGGCACATACTGTCAAGTAGTTTGACTTCTAAAAGATATTATGTTCCTTGGTAGTAAGAAAATAATGAATCCAGTCAATGTGTTTTCTCAGACTGCCGCATAACATTATCACTGTAGCGGCATACAGGACTGTTAAGATAATATAAGTCGAAAGATCATAATTTATTAAAAAACATTCCTATTAACCAATAAAAACATATTGTTGTCAATCTTGAGTCATTTGTCGTTATCCACAATTTATGTGAACAAATTTGCCTTCTTAACGACTTGACGTAAGTAAGAATTTAAAGCTAAATGTTTCGTTTTCTTTATAGAAGCAACAGGACATTTAAGGCCACAGGGACAGGAAGCAACAAATGATACAGGTATATAATATCTATAAGTGATAATTACACTACTCATCCCAGCGTCTCGATTAAAATCTTGATTGCAACTTCATATACAATATATCATTTAAACCTCTTACCAAAATAATGACATGGACTTTCACTGATTTCCTTGTCTGGCAAAGAAAATTATTTGTAAAAGTTCCATATTAAAGGGTCTTCACTGAGTTTTTTTTTGACGTGAAGGGACCGATTTTTTTCACGTTTTACGTATAACTACATGTATATTACACTTGTTTTTTTGTTAAAGTATAAATCCTTTCCATAAAATTATGCCAAAGTTAACCTTTTCTCTCATATAGACGTGTTTTGACGGCTTTTTGTCCCCCTTTTTTGAGGTCTCAAACAGTAGAGAAATTCCCTATTTAGACCACAAACACTGTTTTTCGTTTGAGAAATGTTGTTAAAAAAAGTGAACACTTTTTCGGCGCGTCCCCCGTCAAAGGAGACATCAGGGGGTTGCCGGAAGGGGGATGTGCCCCCTTCTGTTTGGCGGGTCTGAAGGCGGGCGGTAGTCCCCCTCATCGCTAAGAATATTTTGGACATGTGACAGGCTAAAAATGGCTTCAAGTCGATCTTAAGGTAACGAGTAACCAACGCTGAAAAGCCTTTTACTCTATCTCATTGCATTGAGAAGTTGCAGCACTTTCAAAATCAGTTTTGATGAAAAAAAAGACAATGCAAAATAGCGATTTCTGGCAATTTTGAGACGCCCCTCCGTTGCCATGGTAAGATTGAGCATGTTGTTACAGAGGTTATGGTTCAGTCAACATATGTACAAATTTCATCAGAATTGAAGCATTTGTCATAGTTGTGTAGCAGTTGGAACTTGTAACGGAGGCTTTTCAATGACAACGGCCATTTTTCACAATATGCTCATGGGGTCAAAGGTTAAGAAAATATAAACAAAATTCAATCATTTAACGGTAAAAGTCATTTCGAGGTCAGGCAATATTTAATTGTTTTCACATATTTATCATTAGTGTTGTTTTGTCCACATATGAATCAAATCCGTACATAAATAACACAATTATGACAACTTTACCAACATTCAATCTTTGACCTTGACAGTTAAGGTCATTGAAAACTCAAGTTCGTGGTCACTTCAACGTCTAGAATGATTGTCCCGAAGGATGTTTTGTCGAAGTATGAAAATAACCCATTGATTAATTAAAAGTGTCAGCCAATTAAAACAATAATCAGTGAAAATAAGATATTTTGACCTTCAAGGTCATACATGCCTCAAGGTAAATTTCAGGAAGATTGTTAGGGTTCGTTTCATGCAAATTGATTGTAATGGGATGCTAAATGCTAATGGAATGAATACATGCCGCTTGTTTTATTTTTTTTAATTACTAAGAACGTCAGAGAAAACCCCACACATTGTCAATTTAGTGAGAAGGTCCGCCAATTATGGTGAACGTCAGAAAGAAAAAAAAAAAAAAAAAAAAAAAAAAAAAAAAAATTGCCACGACATAATGTCCGGTAGAAAACGCAGGTGCTTTCTTTGATTATTCAATTTGCTTCACACTCCAAATCAACAGAGTAATGGTAAATAATATTCAAATAGAAATAGAGAATTATACATCTGTAAATAGGTTGGCAAACCAATTTTCTTGCTTGTCAAAAGCACTTTAAAGACCTATGGCCGTTTGATAAATGCCCAAATATTGAGATCTTTCAAAGCCATGTCAATTTTACGGTATAACTTAAGTTAGTATTATCACGTCTGAACATGAAGTGTTTCGAATTGCGATTTTGTGATGTAAATGTCCATCATTTATCGTCATGCAAAATCTCTGTTAACCAATCTTCTTCTAAACGACATGGTGGAGGAGTGATTCTTAGATAATACAGAATTTATACAGCCATTGTTCTTTGAGCAGTTCAAACAATATATATTCCTTTGCATGTTCATTTTAATTCATTTACTTCGAGTGGATTGTGTAATGCTCAGAGCATAGATATATGGCATTTTGGATTTCCTAGTTGACTTTTATAAATTAAAGATCTTTCAAATTGACAACCTCTTTATTGAGCCAATTGCATTATTCTATTTGGGCACATCTTGTTTATAACAATGAATCATAAAAGCGATCAAGGGACATCATAGTCATAATATTTGTTATTCAAAAATAAAAAAATAGCTCAATGTTTTTCTTTGTTTAAGTAACACCAGAACCTTCCAGAACATATCAACTGCAAACAAGTGACATAGGTATGTTAAATATAATTGTGTCAATGATGCTACTCACCCTAGCGTCTCGGTTAAAATCTTAATTGCAACCTCAAATATCATTAAAATATTGACAAGGACTTTCACTTACTGTTCTTTGAATAACAATAGAAATTTCTTGTAAAAGCGCAAGGAAACGTTTTTGTTATTGTAATAACTCTAGGCTGAAGATAATAAATGTTCTTTGTCAGCACTCACATCTGTATGACATGTATATCTTTAAGTTTTCGAGTTTTTCCTTTATCAAGATAATATATTATGGATGCAACTAGTGGTTTAAGAATTTTTGTATTGCTTGCAATAATTTGATTACTGCCTGTTTTAGTAATTCTGCCCCTTTTTATTTGGACTATTAATGAAAATGTGTTGATAACACTCGAGCATTAACAGCGATGTTGGTGCTATTGTTTTAAGGACACCTGTTGACAAAGCCTGAGAAAGAAAAATTATTAACAGATAAACCTTGGAGACAGCCATCGAAATTTAATTTTGAGGTAAATAATTCAGTGTCATACCATGTATTTCATGAGATGTTACAAGAGTCCAACAATCTGCATACTCAATCTAGTTGATTTTAAATATTCTATATTAAATTCATATTACACTGGAAGAAATTGTACCTTTAATATGATATAAACCACTGCTGATTTTAAGTATGTCCTTTTAATAACAATTTATTGTGAGTTCATTATACATGGTTGAATGCAATACCGATTGTATTGGTATTGCTTTCAGCTGCGAATTCTGTATAGGCTCGGGCAGAACCTTGTCCAAAATATTCTAACAGCTTCGTACTAATCTAATGTAATAAGCATGGTTTTCAAGTTTTTTTTAGTTTTTTTTTGCATTATGACAAAGAAAAAACATATAACGAAAACATGGAATGAAAACCTACGTAAGATTTATGATTAATTATTCTGATTTTTTTTTCAATTAAGCATGAGCAGAAAATCATTGAACACATCAGAAAAATACAACCAGAAGGTAAACCAAACCTACTTATCTCGGGGCCTGTTGGAGCTGGAAAATCAGCATTTATCAGTGCCTTAATTTCCATTGGCGAAGGAACAAAAAATTCAAGAGCCCAATCAGGAAGTTCTGCTACAAGTTTTACTGTTAAAGTATGGTAGTAATTAATATTTTAGTTTTAGATTTTATGATAATTTTACTGTTTTATTTTTTATTTGATTGAACAGCATTCAAAATAGGTCACCGTAGGTTAAAATGGGTCATCGTTGTATCATGATGATAGGTAATAATATATTGAGCTTTCAAATAACATTTATAAACTCCTCATATACATGTATACTTACGTGGTCAATTTCAACATTTTATAAAATGAAAGCTCATTGTTAGGAGACGTCATTCTTTTGGACCAATTATTTAGTGTGTTTCATTTAAGTAAAGAATTACTTCAATACCGTAAACGTTTATTGTCGGCAAACCGAGGTTCAGCGTTCACAAGTTGATTTGATAATGCTAATATTCAAGTATTCATTGCATAGGAATTTTGATTGTAGCCACTTATACGTTAATAAGAATAAATATAATATTTCGATTTCAGTACATCGGTTACTCTCAGAAAACACTCATTAAACATTTCATACTTCGTGACATGATGGGAATAGAGCCAAATGACGGTGCTGGATTCCACGTTGAGGATTTCATCTACTTGGTTAAAGGACATATAAAGAACAAGTACACGGTTTGGCCAATTTAGTAATAATTTGTACAATTATTTTTATATCAGTGATATTCGTTAGATTTAAAGAAAATATGAAATTATTATAGTATTTTTTGTAACATTTTGACAATACATATAAGAGAATACAAAAATATGTGAACATACTTTCATGTACAAAATTGCTATCAAAAACACTCGAAGATGGATATAGTAACATATGCATTGTTTAGAAAAGAATGGAATCGTACAGTTGTAATGTTTAATGTATATTTGACGTATTCTGCCGTCGCCCAAAATGTATATGTATTACAAATATTAATACAAAGCAAGCATATTTATGTACGTATATTTAAAATATACAACCGAGCTCACACGCATTTATATTTTTATATAATTATTTCTTTTTCTAAAATCACAAACATGTTGCCACTCTTTATGACACCTTGAATATAACGCCAATGGAGGTGATTTATAACGTACAATAATTGTTGATACCGACTATTTTTCATTATATTTGATAGCTTTAGAAATACTTTCGTTAGTTCACATATCTGTAAACCGTATAGTACTGGTGTCAATTCATAATGTTCAATAAAAATATTAAACTTAATTACGAGTTTACAATTCATACATAGGAGCCAAAAAAATCTAATAAGGAGTCTAAAACCCCTTCGTAGGACTTTTATAAACTGTTTTTAGAAGAAAAAAGAAAACTAATTAGGAGTTTAAAACTCCTACGAATTACGCATAACTCCTACGTCGGACTTTGAAAATTCCTACGGAGGACATTTTATCTCTTACGTAGAAAATACAAAAGCCTACTAAGCCTCATAATGATCATTATTTTTATTTTATTCAGACAGACACGAAAAGTTGGAAGTCATTATATAATGTCTAAAAGCATAATATTTATACAAGAGAGAAAATGTGAAGAAAAACATATAACTGACTGAAAATGTGGGTAGAGCGAGATATTTATATTTCAATTGATACAGTTATGTTTATAAATGATATTATCATTAAATAGAAGATATTGAATGAATAGAGGTTCAATACTTGATTTATCAAATGAGTTGAACAAAATAATTATATTATTATTATATGATAAAAATTGCCGATAAAGGACAAGATATCAGAAAAATTAAGTAAATTGCATTAATAGAACAGACATTTACTCTAAGGACATTGATTTCAAACAATTATCAAAATCATATTGATTTCACACTTCATAAGATTGAAACAATGAACTTCCACCGAAATCATCATATGATTTCAAAATATAAATCATTATTAAAATCCAATATTTGTAAGTTAGCTGAGATGATATAAGGACTTTACGTGTACGATTATATCAAGTCACTTACCAAGTGTCTTATATGAGAATATATCAATGCTTCTAATGATATTAAGCCAACATATATAAGAAACCGACTCTTTTTGCTTTTATTTCACCTAATACAGTATATTCACATCTTTCGCTATACCCAGCATATAAGTGCTATACCCATTACACCGTATGTGTGTGTATGTGTGTGTGCGTGCGTGCGTGCGGCCGTGCGTGCGTTGGTGCGTTGGTGTGTGTGTGTGTGTGTGTGTGTGTTTGTGTGTGTGTGTGTGGGCAGTTCCCATCGCTGTAGAAGTCAACTGTTTGTCTATCTTACTAAAATTTTGTATTTGAGTACACGAGGAGAGGTATATTAAAGATAACTCCCGATTTAGGAGTTTTATTTATCGACGAGACTTATAAAGGAACTGGAGTATTTAAACTAATGTCAAATTGACAGTTCGATGTTCACTGACGTATGAACACATCTGTAGATGTTTCAAAATTCAAAAATTTACCATTTCATGTTTATTGTTGAAACTACGGCTTAAGCCGGTGATAGGGGACATGAATGGTAACCTACATTTTCAATAACATCCCACGAACCAGCTGAATCAAACCTCATCATTGCGATGTTACTTTTAATTGTAATAGAAAAGTAATGATATTTTAATCGAGAAATATGCCATAAAGATCAAAACGAAACAAGCACGCGTAATTAACAGTCTACAATATATGGTCATTGAATATGAGTCTCACTCTATTTTTAGACAGGGAAAATCCTATTCAGCAAGTGAATATGATACTTAACCCAGTGAATATAGTTTTATAAAAAAAGTTCTGTTGACTACTGTTTGGACCAATGCGATTGCAGCTATATTTAGATCGTACAATCATGTATGATAGTTTCTTCAGTTTATCACTAATTTTGTTTCAATAGGTAACTCTAGTCGTCGTTTTATGCGTTAAAGTGAACACATGTGTATGATTAATATGTGCATGTTCCTTGCAGTTTTAAAATTGTCCGTTAGTTATTTTGTAGGTGTTCGTTTTCTGCGTTACACCTTTGATAAGTCTCAGATAGTCTTCCGGTTATCCAGTTGCTTTTAGTTGATAATTAAATTAACTTTAAAATATCTCTGAAACCAGAGCAGACATTCCTTTGAAATATCTCCTCATTTTTTTTGTTTGAGTTACATTAGCACAGTCAAACGGTAATGTTCATTTGTTTAATCTTTATTTTAAAATGAAAAACTTTTGATAACTTTCCTTCTTATTCTAAATTCGTAACAGTTTGAAGTTATGAGTTGTTCTTTCCTACTTGTCGTTTTCGGGATTAAATTGCTATAAGAAAGAATTTCGCTTTCCTTTTATAATGGAAGATTATATGTGTTATTTTCGTCTTCATGTTTCGAAGATACCCGTAGATATGTGTTATAGTTAAATATCTTCTGTAGTGTTAAACAGTCTTCAACAAGCTGATCCCTCGGAAACTTTAGACACACAAATGCATAAAAATTGCAGACTCGGGTTGAGTCTGCATGTGAGGGATAATGAAGAAAATGAAAAAGGCAACATCCTTCACATCCTCTAGTACCGGCTTGCGCTCTTTAGGTTCTGGAATCATTGATACCGAAAGCCCAGAAAAAAAAAACAACTGTATTGAAGTACGGGGCAACATTTTACAGTTGCCACACGGAACTTGACACCTGATTTATCTTACCACGCCTTATGTTATAAGAATATATTTGAGTCCGATAGCGTATGAATCCATTACCTTAAAAAAACACTTTCGGATAAGTATTTGGCACCACTACTAAGCAATTAGTGAAATGTTTCTTGCTCAATGAAACAACGGCTCGTTCAGGACAAGAACCTCCGAAGATTGCGATCTAAAGAATACAAGGCCAACATGCTAACCGATCGATTACGTTACTTTCGTTTCAATTTCGTTTCAATATTCAATAATGTTTTTGATTAAAATGTTTTAATTCGTTTCTGATATATATGAATTTTGTTCATTTGATCCAAGGTCAGTTAATTCATTACAAGGGGAAATACTTATTACACTACATATTCTCAATATACTTAAGTACTGAATATCTATAATTTCAGTTTAACCCTGCGTCACCGATTACACCTAGCGACAGCAACTTTAGAGCAACCCCAGAGCCAATGGATGTTATCCACTGTGTCATCTTTGTTATCAGCGCTGTAGATGTTTACAATGATATACCTGAAATGTATATCAGAAAAATAGGTCAACTTCAAGACAATCTCCGAATGGAACGTATGTTAGACAAATTACGTTTTTATAAGATTTCAGAAATTGTCTTTACAAAATATCTGTATATCGGTCACCAATTATTAGAAGAAACAACATTATTATGTCGTAAGCTGAAAATGTCCCTAGTCATAAACATTTTCGTATACGTCTAATAATCCTTCCATAGCAAGCCGTCTATTAGATATCATAGGAACGTGTGCATAATAGTGTAGCTATAATCATCTTGTAGCTCTTTCAAAACATAATTCATACACGTTTGTAGTAAATGACAAAAAATGTTCTCTTACACAAAATTCTACAATACACGTAATTGATACATTCTATGTAATTTTCAATGAAGTTTTCAATAATAAGATTCTTTACTATAATAGCATAATTTACGTATTCTGTTAGAAATGTTTTGTCTGATATTTTTACAGTTATTTTCACGTGTATTTTATATTAAAGGGATTCCGAGAATACTCGTTCTAACAAAGATCGACCAATTGTGTAAAAAAGTTCAAGAGGACATCAACAACATTTTTAGGAGCATAAAAGTACAAAAGGTCGTCAAAACTGCAAGCGAGGTCTTTCATATTGACCAAGCGTCAATTCATCCCGTAGTTAATTATGAAGACACTGGGACACTGACACCAGAACAAAACATACCACTGCTTCTTGCACTGGAACAGAGCATGGTCTACGCAGACGGCCGTGTTCAACAAAGTAAAGATGATGAAGAAATACGCTGAGCGCTATAATTGAAAAAAAGTCTATACCGATTTTAACACTATAAATTTTTGTGACAGTTGTCTCTGTGATAATGAGACATATAATTATTTTAAGACGACAATTTCTGTTGATAAGGAACTCACAATTTACATAATTATAAAATGTTGACAATATCCCATAATTTTAAATAATAATGATAATTCGATAAGAAACTAATTTTCCTGTATAGTTTTGGTGAATGATATAATGTTTACTTCGTATGTTTCCTCACAAAAGTGAAGAATAATAAATTACATGTAATTTTCATTTAGTATGATTAAATATGATTAAAAATATCAGTTAAGTAACTTAATATCTTCAATGCTTGCATATAAATATTTTTCCTTAGTTAGAGAAAAAGTGAATTCCAAAGAACGCCCAAAATGACACAATTGTTAATGTTTCTTTCATGGTTTGATTGCCATTGGTCATTGATAACAAAAAAAATGTACCCGTGTTTACTTATACAGGAAGCTAAAAATATTAATACAGGACCTTGAAAATTATTTTAAAGAGATTATTTTCTCATTCAAATCTATAGCTATGTTTTCATATTTGCACCCACTCATGGTTGATCTGTATTCCTTTTGTACATCTGTATTTATATAAAAAAGTTTAAAAAAAACTGGCTAAAGTTAATTTTCGTAAATATTAGCATTAACGGTTGTCTATTGGAATACTACTTTTGTACCTTTGAAGAAAAACCTTATATTAAGTAAATACGGTATAAAATTGTGTTTAATTTGCAACATAAGTTCATTGAGGAATATTCCAGGCAGGTTTTGTGACGAATGGACAGACAAACCGAAGTGAATAATTCCGATATGTCAAGGCTACTTTGTAGCATGTAGCGCCTTCTGTGTAGCAGGCGACACACTTTTGCGTCAAAACGCCATATTTAAGGACAGTATGTTATGTAATAATAATAATAATAATAATAGAAAAAAATACTCGTTAAATGTGCACAAGTACTTGAGGTACCGACCAATCCTGTAAAAATTAATTCAAATTGCATATTAAGTAGTTTTAGTAAAATAGTCCAGTCAAACTTAAAGAATAAAAATCGTTAAAAGTGCAATAACTCTGACAAAAATTATTGAAATGACAATATGCAAACCTTACCTTGGACTTGATAATTTCTGTAATGTTTAGATGAAATATTAGCACCAGCAGTGTTTTAGAAGTGACGGACGAACGGACGTCCAAACAGACAAATGACGAAGAAACTATCGCTACATTTGCAGTTATGCTGTAGCAGGTGACGCAAAAATGATTGGTAAGACAGTATCAGTCTTTACTTTGGTAGACGTCGAAACAAATGAAGTACCCGCTGGAAGAATAATTTTGGTGCTGAAAAATATTGCACGTTGATTTTAGCAAAAAAAGCATGCAAGTTAAGATGTGGAATAGCTCCAATCAAACTATGAATTGGGAGATATGAACGTTTATAAGTTGATATATGTATTTGTTTATTTTTTAATTCGAGCCGGTATAAATGTTTTAAATGAATGACATATTCTCTCGAATGTCATATGTCATATGTATAAAAGAATTTAAAAATCTGTATTGATTTATTTTGCAATCACGGATGAGATTTATGTTCTATTTATTGTAGATTTAGAGCCATAACTAATTGTGCATAATTACGGATCATTCACTCCCTAAGTTTTTTCGGAGTAATGATTAAACTGTGAAAAAATGAAACATTAGTATTAAAATATCTGAAATACAGCATTATTTGCTACAGTCGCAACAGTGCGCAAGCTTTCGTAAATATTCGTTGGTTATGCAAGAACGAAATCATAATAATCATCATCATCAGCGGTAACAACAATAACCCCTCCCACCCCCCCCCCAAAAAAAAAAGAAGATTGAGGGAAAATGTTCACATATGAATACCACCGACTACATATAACGTACATGTACCTAAGCTGATCTTAACGAAGACACTCCATGCCATAACCGCCATAGTACGTAAGACATC